CACTTAAAAGGGGAAAACATCAGGAGACACACAGTTCCTTCAAGAGCTTAGGCAACAAATATTGTCTTTGGTATTTATCTTGCTGAATACTTTCAAAGATGTATCTTAGACTTAGAATTCAGGAAACACTTGTGACTTCAATGAAGATCCATAACAGTAAAGCTTGTAGGACAAAACCCTGTCTATCAGTCTCTCCATGGATAGTCTATCAGAAGTCCATTGACAGCTTACATAATTAATTTGTTGGTATGATGTTCCAAATAAAGATGTCACACAAATAAAAATAAATATATTTCCATATTTTGAAGGCTTAGGAGAGTAACCTCTCTACTGAAATAATGAACACATATCAAGTTATGCTTTTTAATACAATTCAAATTAAATGTCAGCATTAAAGTCTTGGGCTACATGGTAACTCATTTCCAACCAAACTGCTGCTGTTATTTCTGAAAAGTTACTTGATACACATAGGATTTTTAATTAACTACCTTACTCATACACCTTACAGGTTCTAAATTAACTGTATCAGCTGAAGAATGGGACTGCAGTGTCACTGTAGACAGTCCAATGAAAACCCATCCACATTGTGCAGCTGCAGTCAAAAAAGCAAAGAAGTCTTAGAATGCATATGGAATGAGATGGTGAATAATACGAAGAACATTATAATGCTTTTACTTCACTCAGTGGCACTGCCTTATCTGGAATACTGCATGCACTACCAACACAGCTCACAAAGGATATTGCAAAACTATAGGGGAGCGCACTGAGCATAATCAAGGGTCTGGAAAAACTCTCATATGAAGAGAGATTGAAAAGTTTAGGATTGTTTACTATGGAAAGTAGACCATAAGAAGTACATGATAAAATAACAAATGGTATATAAAAGGTAGATTGGGACTTCTGTTCTCCCTGTCTCATAACACACAAACAAGGGAGCATTCAATTAAGCTAAAAGGTGGGAAATTAAAAATTGATAAAAGGAAATACTTTTACACACAATATGTAATTAACTGTGGAACTCCTTTCCACAATAAGTCATTGAGGCCTAGAACTTTATAAGATTCTAAAAGAGACTGGATATTTATATGAATATCAGGAATATCCAGTTATAATAATTAATTACAACAAATTTTGGAAGGGACAGTCAACTTTATGCTTCAGGTTTTAAACCAATCTTAACTATTAGAAACCAGGATGAGACCTTTGCGAGCAGATTATCCCTCATCTGCCTACTGTAGGGTTCTTACCCTTCCCTTGAAGCATCTAGAGCAGGTATCTCAAACTCAAATCACCACGAGGGCCACATAAGGACTAGTACATTGGCCAAAGGGCCGCATCACTGACACCTTTTCATATAAAGGTACAAAAGCCCCACCCCCAGCCCCACCCCTACTCCACCCCTTCCATGAGGCCCTGCCCCGCCTCTTCCAACCCCTTCCCCAAATCCCTGCCCCTGCCCCGCCTCTTCCCCTAAGCGCGGCTCCCCGCTCCTCCCCTCTCTCAGCTGTTTGGCGGCGGGAAGCACCTGGAGGTAGGCAGAGGAGTGGGGACGCGGCGCGCTGGCGGGTGTGGGGGGGAGCGGCGGGCAAGGGAAGCTTGGCAGTAGCAGGAAATAACTCCGAAGGGCACTGGGAGCTTGGCGGGCAGCAGCAAATAACTCCGCAGGCCACATGCTTGAGACCTCTGATCTAGAGGCTACGGTCAGAAACAGGATACTGAAGTAGATGGACCTTGGATGTGATACAGAATGGCATTGTTCTATATACCTCTAACCTTTTGGATTTTGTTTTTTTCTACTTTTTGTCTCAAATAAAAAATTTTTGCCAACACATAAATCACTCAAGGCTCTAAGTAATTAATATATTGTAGTATCAATAATTTGCCACTAATCAAAATATATTTTAAAAATTTTTACACATTCACTATTTGCTACAGTGAAAAGACAAATACAGCCTCGTTGCTGCCAGCACTTTGATACATGCTTAACTTTATATACTGTGCATGGTCCCATAGACTTGCAATCTGATCCAGGTGGGCCACACTCTTATGCCCACACAAACTTTCACTGAAGTCAGTGAGGCTCTCTATAGGAGTGCAAGGACCAACCACACAGATCAAATTTCTGGATCTGTAGTCATTACTATTCCTAACTAAATCATCCACAAGAACACTATACTGTAAGAATATATTATTCCTGTATTTTTGTCAGGTTTGAAAAAAACATTATATGTTTAAAATACACACACATATATTTAGCATCTGACAATTGCTTTGAGACTTTCTTGATCAGTTTATAAATGATCCGTTTAAAGTTGATCAGTTTAAAACTAAGAGTTTTTGTCTTAGTAGGTCATTTCCTACAAACTCAGGTCAACTAGGTAATTTGCATTAGGTCATATTCAAACAAAATCAAAGACTTGTGCAGATTTATTCCTAACAGGAAGTCTAGAGCTCAGTTCATGGTCTATAGTCATGGTCTTCAAGCAAGATCTACTGGCTACACAATAAGAAGCAAATGACACTCAAGCCTTTCTTACCTTCAAAATTTTAAGTCACATATGCCTTTTTAAACTGTATTACATTAACTTGCTAAAGAAATTTTTAAAAAGAACAAGAACTGCAGTTCTGTAAGCACATAACGTAATCTGAACTCTGTAGAATTCATCAAGATATATAAATATTTGGATATGAAAACACTTTTTTCATTAAATCAAGTTGTCTCATAAATGCTCTCTACTGCATTAGAAAAAAAAGAAACAGATATATGCAATTAGGCACAGACTGCAGTAAATGTAGCATATAATATTCACATAGAATAAAAAAAATTACAGTTGCAAAATTACACTTAACTTTCTTTTGCCTTTAGATGGTTTAAAGACAATAACAGCGCACTAACATTTTGGAAAGCCATACATTAATGAGAAAGGAAAGAGAATTTCTAACTGTAAAATAATGGAGATTATGCAGCAATTTCCAAAGAAATTCAGTTACAAAACTTTTAGAGGATGAATGTCTCATCTATACATCAACCATAAAATTGCATACATTTAATCTTGATTAGGTCTCAGATAGGAGACAAACACCCAATGTGAGAGGCAGAAAAAAAGGTGTTTAAAATCAGGGGGATAGGAAGAATTCCTTTAAGCATAAATAACTTTATCTAGCACCTCAATTTTATGCTCTTTTTGTTTCATCTGTAATTAACCAAATAACAAAAACCAAAGTGAAAGAGGGGGAGCATGTAGAAAGGAAAATTTAGTTTTTGAGGGGAACACATGGTGGCTCTTGTGATTTGTGGGGCCCACAATGAGGGAATGGGGGTATTGGGGATTAATTGCCTCTTCTTCCCAATACTAGAGGGAAATTTTGGCTACTTGGACTGTAATGTGTTGTAATACTATCAAAGGGGTACATGTTGCCAACTTTCGGACTACCCTGGTCATCCTACCCAGTGCCCTCCTGCCCCCCACTTCCTCCTGACCACTGTCTGTGAGGCCAGAATGTGGGTTGATTGCTCCACTCCACTCCTGGTGCCTGAAGGGATAATAGCACAGCAGGACTGCACAAGACAGCAACTCACAACCAGCATGAAGGCAGTGAAGAAAGATCAAGATGAACCATGACTTATTCACAGCAGCCATCAAGATTTATAGAGACAAGATGGGTCAGGTAATATCTTTTATTAGACCAACTTCTGTTAGTGAGAGAAGCTTTTGAGCTTACACAAAGCTCCAATAAAAGATATTACTTCACCCACATTATCTCTCTAATATCCTGGGACCTACTGCATACATCAAGATTTATATGCAGACCACATGGTGAAAGGACAAAAGGGATGCACTTCATTGAAATAGGCAAGTGTTTTCTGGAGGGTCAAAGGGAAAAACAATAAGTTTTTAATGTCTCACTCTTTTTGTGGTAACAGATGCCAGTGCAAAGTGGGTGTAAAAACCTCCCATACTCTTCTGGTAGGGTTTTACACTTGCTTTGCACATGTGTAGCTAACTCTGCAAAGGAGCAGAGAGTCCAGACCCTTGTACTATCATTTGCCTGTAAAGCACCATCCACATTGATGGTGCTGGCTAAATAAGGAATCCAGACTTGCAAGATCTCAATTCACAAAGTGTGTTCATGCGTATGTACTGTGTGTACCGTTCGTGGGTGTGTGCACATACTGCATGGGGGGGGGGGGTGTATGTACTCTGGGTGCATACAGTATGCGTGTACTGTGTGTGTATGGTGTGGGAGCGTGCATACGGGGTGGGTGTATTATGCTGGGATGTGCATACGGGCTGGGTGTGTTGTGTGGAGGGGATGTGTACTGTGTGTGGGGTGGGTATGCTCTGGAGAGGGCTGCGTGGGGGAGCACACGGTATTGTCTATGTCGATGGCTGGGCAGGTGGTCACTCGGTGTTGTCGGGACTGGCCTCGTGGCGGGGGCGAAGAACCACCACACCACTGATGACGAACAAGCTAGTGCCGGGCAGGCCTGAAAGCAGGCGGCGGGCGGGAGGGAGGAGCAGGCGGCCACGAGCCAGTGCGTGGTGGGAGCGGGGCCGGGGGGCCAGGTGGGGGAGAGACACGACAGTCTGCTCACTCCTGCGCCGGCAGAGCAGGGCCCAGAGGCTGGGGGGGGGGGGGGGGTAAACGGAAGGGGGGGAAGCTGCATCCGGGTCTCACTCACTCACCTATCATGGCCACGGTGGGGGGAGGGGAGGGAGCGCGCGCACGCACCCGTCCCGTCCGCGCTCGCAGCTCAAATTCTCGCCTTCAGCACTCTGACTGAACACGCAACTGCGGGGCGAGCCGGCGGGACTGCTGAGTCATAGTGCGCATGCGCACACGTGGAGCGTGCCTGCCGATCGCTTAGTACTCTGGGTAGCGTAGTTCTCTCGTGCGTGCGCTCTTTCCTGCTCTCGCCGGGGCTGTTCCACGTGATCGGCGCAATTTCACCCCCCCTTCTCACGTGACCGCAAACAGAAGCCGGGCAGGTTGTTGACACGTTGCCTAGCAACCGTGAGGCGTCCCTGGAAGCGTGTTGGTGTTAGCGACATAGTGAGGCAGTGTCCCGCCCTCCCAGCCAGACCCCACACAGGAGCCTCCATAGGCAACAGGAGGGGGTGAGGAAGGGCAGCAGGGGCAGGGGGTGAGGAGGAAAACGAAGGGCAGCAGGGGGTGAGGAAGGGCAGCAGGGGCAGGGGGTGAGGAAGAAGAAGGGCAGCAGCGGGTGAGGAAGGGCGGCAGGGGCAGGGGTGAGGAGGAAGAGGAAGGGCAGCAGGGGGTGAGGAAGGGGGGCAGGGGGTGAGGAAGAAGAAGGGCAGCAGGGGGTGAGGAAGGGTAGCAGGGGCAGGGGGTGAGGCGGAAGAGGAAGGACAGCGGGGGTGAGGAAGGGGGCAGGGGCAGGGGTGAGGAGGAAGAAGAAGGGCAGGAGGGGGTGAGGAGGAAGAGGAAGGACAGCAGGGGGTGAGGAAAGGCAGCAGGACGGTGAGGAGGATTTATTTTTTTCCCAATTTATTCTTTTAGCCTATATATTTAACTCCTGTCCCCCACAAAGGTGCCTGGGGACATGGTGGCAGAGAAAGATGGTTCGAGCCCCCCGAAACTCACTGGAGAGAGACCCCCACAACAACAGCAGCCACTGGGGCAGCTGAGGAGAACCAAGCAGCAGGTCACCGATGGATTCACTGTTAAAGCCATGATGAGAAACACTGTGGTATGTTTGCTGCCAGTAAAGAGGTTTTTAATTTGTTTAGTCTCATGTGCCCATGAAGCAGGTTCGGGGGTGGGGTCGGTGCCTGCCAGAAAGTATGCAGGGTTGGCATGATTTTAACTGAGATTAATTGGTCATGGAAATAGCTTTCAGATCTTGAGGAAATGTCATCTTGAGGTAATGGGTGGTCTCTCAGGATATTGTGATACTTCAGGTTAAAATGTGCCAGGTTTATGTAGCCGTGTATGTTGTTATATTGTTTTGCATAATCAAATCATATTGAATCAAATTCCAACCTATTATGAAGTTATGTCCAAACATAATTATGTTGTACTTCATTAAAATGTTATCATGTCATGCCATGACACTGTGTCAAAAAGTCTTCACCTTGTGTCACTGTATGGTGAAATTATGACATAAATGTCACATCATATGGTGAAAATTTTTCTTTGCAAAGGAGATGGTCCTTAAATCCTCAGCTCAGAGATACTATAGAAATGTAACATATTACTATTAATTATTATTCTAAGTATATATTTTAGTTAAAGGAAAACCCATACAAAGAGGTAGGAGAAAACAGTTGAACATCACATGAAAAATACAGCATTTTTAAAAGAACTTCCAAAAATAATCACCAAAAACCTTTCACACAGTATTAGAAAATATTACCTTGGAAATAAACATTTATTTTCTAGTGGCTAGCCCTTTAGCATGAGGATCACAAATAGGGGTTGATCCATCAACCTTTACTTTAACTAACAGTCTTTACAGAAGTAGTTCTATTAAAGTGTGTGGGACTTCTGCCATGAGTAAAGATTGCAATATCACACCCTGTGTCTGTAGTAAACCTTTCCTACAGTAATTGTTGTAACTGATTGCGTCCATTAAATTTAATAAATAAACCTCAAAGCTTCTGGTAATGCTGCTCAATTTCTAAGTGGGATGTGCTGTTATGAGCACACAACATCTGTGCTCAAAGCTCTGGATTGGCTTTTTGTTTGCTTTTGGGTACAGTTCAAGGTGTTGGCAACAGTCTTTCTCTTTCTCTCTTTTTAATTACATATACGTTCACAATAATAATTACCAAATGCATGAAAAAACCCCTAGAAACTGATCTCACCCAGCCTCTGGAATTCATTATATATATCAAAATTTAGAAGAAAAACAAACAAACAAGTCTACCTTAAATATATTGAGAAGCATTGTACTCTGTAGAATATATCTGAGAAATAACATTTTCCCCTTCTAGAGGTCTCAGTTGGACTAACAAACAACAATAATTATGAGCAAAGCCCCTCCCAGCACTGACTTATTATCATGTAATAATAAAAAAACGTTTATTATTTAATGTTAGCAGCCAAATCAGTCATACCCAGGTGCTTAACTTTATGCATATGCATAATCAAATTAACTTCAATAAGATTATTCATAGGGCATAAAGTTAAACACATGCATAAATCTTTGCCTAAATTAGGCCTTAAAGACACAAAACATGAAATGTAAAAAACAAGGCTATAACATAAAACCACAAAAATGATTAGGGATATGGAACGGCTGCCATATGTGGAGAGATTAATAAGACTGGGACTTTTCAGCTTGGAAAAGAGATGACTAAAGGGGGATATGATTGAGGTCTATAAAATCATGATTGGTGTGGCGAAAATAAATAAGGAAGTGTTATTTACTCCTTCTCATAACACAAAAACTAGGGATCACCAAATGAAATTAATAGGCAGAAGGTTTAAAACAAACAAAAGGAAGTATTTTTTCACACAGCGCACAGTCAACCTGTGGAACTCCTTGCCAGAGGATGTTGTGAAGGCCAAGACTATAACAGGGTTCAAAAAAGAACTAGATAAATTCATGGAGGATAGGTCCATCAATAGCTATTAGCCAGGATGAGCAGGGTTGGTGTCCCTAGCCTTTGTTTGCCAGAAGCTGGGAATGGGCGACGAGATGGATCACTTGATGATTACCTGTTCTCTTCATTCTCTCTGGGGCACCTGGCATTGGCCACTGTCGGAAGACAGGATACTGGGCAAGATGAACCTTTGGTCTGATCCAATATGGCCATTCTTATGTTCATATGAACCATCAACAAACTTGAATTTGAATCTGATTTTAGTGATCAGTATATAGAGAACTGTTTGTTAACTATTATTATTATTGCTTTTAATTCACAAAGTCTCCAGTCAGGATTTGGGCTCTGTAGAAACACAAAGAACTGTATAATCACCACTCTGAAGAACTCAGAATTAGAATATATGCTCTACCACATCTGAAAGATTGGAACCCCAACTGGCATAGAACATTTATCTCTAATTCTGGGGTTCATGAGTCCTCCATTTAGAACCCATAAGTGTGTATTTCCTAGATCATAATTATGTTTTTCTAATAGTTCTCACATCTACAGTATGTGCTAGTAAGCTACAGGCCCTCATGTCCAAAACCTCATTTTTACATTTTCCCCAAGACCAGCTGGTCTTTGATGCTCATTTCAAATTTGTTCCCAATTTTGTTCAGGATTTTCATTTAAATCAGTCTATGACTTTGACTGGTATTTTTATCTGCACTCACATTCATCCCACATTCTCCATAAGATGAACATTAGACAGTTTCCATCCTTTGATTTAGACAGGCCATAGATCTTTTGTGAATCCTATTTTCTCTTCTTGAGTCCTGTGAATAAGTTTAGTGGCATTTCCATCCTTCAAATTGTTGGGCAATTATTGGCTGCAAATGCACAGACATGAGTTCACGAGACAATTTTCTCTATATATACCTCTGCTAGAATATTATATAAAGTTCTGAGCGCCTTGGGTCAGGTCCACAAAAGGACTTAGGCATTGCAATGCTGAATGTTGCAGCACCTAATTTTTACATGCTCAGAAAATTACAGGAACAACGAACACTGTGATTCACAAAGCCTGAGGTTAGCGTTTAGGCTCTCTATACAATGAATGGGGAGAGATAGGTACCTAAGATGTGATCCACAAAAACCAGCATGGTAGGCATGGGAGCCCATCTCCTGGAGTCAGGAGGCTTAGGTGTCTAAGCTATTTTTTGCAGGAATGAGTGAGGTGTCTGCCTTGCTCCACATAAGACAGCCAGAGGAGGTGGTGCTCATTGTATAACTGTTAGTCTAGTGGTTAGAGCACTCATCTGGGATGTAGAGCCCCATATTTAAGTCCCCCCTCTGCTGGCAGGGGAGAAAGGATTTAAACAGGGATCTTCTCTCTTTTTGGAATGTGCTCAAACCACTGGGCTATGAGATCTTCTGGTGTGGGGGTCCCTCAATTTCTCCTTTGGTAGCTTTTCCACTGTAGATAAATAATTAAAGAGTGATTGGAGAAGGGGAACTGCACCTGGGGTCTCCCACATGGGTGCCCTACCTACCAGGCTACGAGTTATTCTTTCTCTCTCGTTGGTCCTATGACTTTTCCCCCGTGGATAAATACTTGAATAGTCACTGAATGAGAGAAAGCTGGGAGTTGGGAGATTCAGGTTCCAGTCCCTCTGCTCCAATCACTCTTTTGTTATTTATCCATGGTGGAACAGCTTCAACAGGAGAGACTAAGGGAGCCTGCCATCAGAATTTCCCAGAGCTCACTGGTTAGAGCACTCTCCTAAAGGTGGTAGACCTCTGTGCAAATTTTGAATGAGATCCAATCTGGTAGGTGGCTTCAGATGTTCTTCCACCTAGCCTCCCCCCAGTTTTTGGATTCTTCTGGGGCTAGAAGGGAGATAGGCAACTGGACACCTAGAGTAAAGCAGCAATGTCACACTCAGAGGCAGAAACTTAGGGCTGGTCTACACCCAGCCGCTAGTTCGGCGGCTGGGGATCGAAGTTCTGGGTTCGACTTATCGCGTCTGGTCTGGACGCGATAAGTCGAACCAGGAAGTGCGCGCCGTCGACTGCGGTACTCCAGCTCGGCGAGAGGAGTACCGCGGAGTCGACGGGGAGCCTGCCTGCCGCGTGTGGACCGCGTCTGAACCGCGGTAAGTTCGAACTAAGGTATGTCGACTTCAGCTACGTTATTCACGTAGCTGAAGTTGCGTACCTTACTTCGACTTGGGGGGTTAGTGTAGACCAGGCCTTAGGCACGGAGGGAACTTTTTCCATGACAAGTTAGGTACCGAGTGAGTTTAAGCGCCTACAGTGTTTGGTGTAAGTTTTATGAATCTCACTGGAGACAAAAAATGGGATTTAAGCACCCAGTCTGGGGCTTAGGCCCCTAAGTACCGTTGTTGATCGGGGCTCTTGATAGTAGAAAAATACTGACACACTGGAAAGAGTGTAGGGAATTTCTAATCTTACTACTTGCTGTTCTCCCAATGTTGGTAAATTAACTTGTAAACTTCCTACCATTGTTGTTATCTTATTTTCAGGTATTGTTTTCTATTATACAGTTCATATCTTGGGTAGATTGCATCTAATGTATCAGGAATGTTTTAAATAACAGCTCTCTCCTGTTTTCAAAACAACAAACCCCAGGCAAGCCCCAAGAAATGACAGTCTTTCGGCCTTCAGCAGACATATGGGCTGTGGAAACCAGATAATTTCTTTTTAATTTGGTCTTCATGCTGCAGCTTTATCATCTAAAATCTTCTGTGACTCAACATACATTTGTTTACCCATTATGTAACACTTTCTTCATCATATTGGTCATTAATAACTTATAATTCACCATTACTTTCCACAAAATTTCTCCAAATTCTGGAGATGCTGAAATATATCTACAAAGACTTTTAAAACACCTTTTTTATATTAATCAAGGCAAGGTGAATTTGACCTTGGTGGAGAGAATGCAAAACAAAAAAGAAAGGGGTTTATTTTACAGCTTTTTTAATTCTAGAGATGTGGAGAACAAACTATATAGCCACTTCAGTGAGTTTAAGGATTAATTTTTTAAGATCTTTCCTCCTCTCCAGATATATTCAGTTCACACAGATATTTGCATATCTTTGTATAAGCAATAGTATATAAAAGAATACTTGATTTA